GGCTTCTCACCAGTCTCGTGAGGTGGGGACAGGCATTGTGGGCGCAGGACGAGTACCCCATCGCCCTCGCAGGGCAGCAGAGAGGCGCTCACAGCCCCCACCCCTCTGGGCAGAAAGATGAGTCTGGGCTGTAGACCCAGGACCAGCCCTCACCCCACCCCACCCCACCCCACTCCATCTCTCTGTGTCTCTATCTCTCCATTCTGTCTCTCTTGTCTAGATGTTGCTCTTCCCCTCACACACGCGCGCAGGCACACGGACACACGCACATGCATTTTTTTTTTTTTTAATCCGAGTTACAATGATGTTGGAAACCGCGGGCGGGAGCGTGTGCGCGTGCGTGCGCACGGAGTGCGGGGGCGAGCCGCCCCGGGTCCGCGGGTCTGGGAGCGCGAGGGCGCGCCCCGTCACCGCTGAGGGTGCGCGCGTTTGTACAGACCGCACCCGCCCCCCACCCCGGTCCCCCTGGCCTCCCCACACGTGGGAAACTCTCGGGTCTGCCGTGCGGAAGCAGAGCTCGCGGGCGTGGGCGCGCGCGTGTGTCTGTGTGTGCGCGCGCGCTGGGGATGGAAATGCTGCTTGGAAGAGAGGGCCGGGCGCCCCGGGGGTAAACCTGCCAGTCCCCTTCTGCCACTACCCAGCCAGCCCCAGGCTCCTCAGTGGCCTCATCCGTCAATTGGGTATCCTCACAGCTTCCTCCCGAGGCTCCCCGGGAGCTTAAACAAGCGTGTGCAAAGTCTGGCGCAAGAAGGGGCTGACTCACAATTCCCAAGTTATTGTTGTTGTTTTCACTGCGCCCGTCATGACTAGCCCATCTCCCTCTAGCCCGTCTCTCCCCTGTGGAGATGGGGGTGGGAGAACCTGACCCCACGCAGCCCACTGCCCTCCCAGAGCTCCGGGTGGGAGTCCCCCATCACCCAGCCCTACCCTGGCAGCGGCTCAGCCACATCCTGCGGCAGCCACTGGCTCAGACCCACCAGCCGCCCTCGTGGCCTCCAGCCCCTGCCACCCAAGGCCACCTCCTCCCCCGTCATCGCCGCCAGTCCCCTGCCTCCCCACGGGCTTCCTCCCAGCCTCACCTGCCCACACCCAGCACTTATCCACTTGTCTTGTCTGGCACCTCACCTTCTCCTTCAAGGTCCCCCCTTTGAGTCTAACTTAAATCTTTCCAGCTGCTGCCAGGAGGCGCAAGGGAGACAGGAGCCCCATGTGTGATGGCGGGTGGGGTGTCCGGGTCCCTGGGAAACCTGGCCTCTACAAGCACTCCCTGGAGGGAGAAATGGGGTGAGGGGGCGTCCAGGGGGCCGGACCCCTCCCAGAGGCGCATGCAGGTGGCAAGGGGACTTGGGTGGGTGCTGAGATGGGCTCCAGATCCTAGCTCTGACTTTCTCAACTTGGCTCATCACCTTTTGTCTGTCACCTGTGTCTCATCTGTCTCTCACTCCATCTCCACCTATCGATGTCTCTTTGTGAAATCACACAAGGAGCCAAGTTTTTAATCTGGCTGATGTCTCCATCTGTCAGCACATCCTCTCCCCCTAGACTCAGTTTTCTGTTCTGGGAAATGGGCATAAAGTCTTCCCAGCACGGAGATGGTGAGCTGAGGGCCAGCCCCTGCCTCTCTGCCTCCCTCAGCCTGTTGGGCCCTCATCACCTGGGACCTGGGGTGGCCTTGATCCCTTGGGTCCTGAGCCTTGATGGCAGCGGCAGCAGAGAGTTGTCTGGACTCGGGGGAGGAGCTGGGCCTCTCGGGGGTGGGGGTCCCTTCCGTCACTGAGCCTCTTCCTCTCTCCGCTCCCAACAGCCCCCCGGCGTCCAGGCGGAGCATGAACATTGAGGATGGCGCGCGCCCGCGGCTCCCTGTGCCCCCCGCTGCCGCCCCGTAGGATGTCCTGGCCCCATGGGGCCCTGCTGTTCCTCTGGCTCTTCTCCCCGCCCCTGGGGGCCGGCGGGGGCGGCGTGGCCGTGACATCCGCCGCCGGAGGGGGCACCCCTCCGGCCACCTCCTGCCCTGCTGCCTGCTCCTGCAGCAACCAGGCCAGTCGGGTGATCTGCACCAGGAGAGAGCTGGCTGAAGTCCCGGCCAGCATCCCTGTCAACACGCGGTACCTGAACCTGCAGGAGAACGGCATCCAGGTGAGCTGGGTTGGCCGCCGTTGTGGGGGCCCTGGGGCAGGGGCGCGGGTGGTGGCCGGGCGGCCGGTCCCCCCTCCCTGAGCCACCAGCTCTTCATGCTCGTCCGTCTGTCCCCGGGCACTTCTCGGACACTGTGTGCATCCTTGTTACTTGAGCCGAGGCTGTGTCTTGCATTTTCTCAGCATGAGGCTCCTTCCTGTGTCTGGGCTGCGGCAGGACCGCCTGCCTGCCTCCCACAGCGCAGGAGCCGCAGGTTGTGCTGGGGGTGACCCTTCCCTAAGGCCCCCCCCCCACCCCGTGCCATCTGCACTGCCGCGCCCGCCGCCTGGGGCATTGGGCACATGACACTGGGCCTCAGTTTCTCCATCTGGAAAATGGGGATGATAAGAGCTCTGCCCGCAGGGCGGGTGTGAGGGCTGCTGGACTTCATAATTGTCGAGGGTGTAGACTTGCTCTGGCACGGGGAGCAGTGCTCATTCGCTTGTGGTTCTGGGCTCCCGGCCCCGCGGAGTCTGTATGAGAGCCAGGTGCTCCCAGGTGCTGGCTCCTGCTGGAACGGGGCAGGTGCCGTCCGGTTATTATTGTGGCTAAGACGGGCTGCCCGTGATGCTTTGGGGGCGGGGCTGCACTGTTTTGAAGCAGGTGTGTCCTCTTCTGCTCTTTTGTCTCTGGGGCTGGATCATCCTTGGTTGAGGGGATCTTCCTTGGTTGGGGGGTGCGTCTTGTGGGCTGTAGAATGTGGAGTGGTGTCGCTGACCCCCAGAAGCCAGTAGCATCCCACCTCCTCAGTCCCAGCCACATCTCCAGATATCAGATATCCCCTGGGGATGGAGGGAATCCCCTTTGGTTGAGAACCACGGCAGGGCAGGCGTTGTGTGGGTGGTTTTCTTTTTGGCCATGAGGCATGTGGGATCTCCTCACCCACGGAACAAATCGTACCTCCTGTGTTAGAAGGCCAAATCTTTACCCCTGGACCACCAGGGAAGCCCTGAGAACCACTGGGGTTGGTTGGCTGGTTTTTGGCTGTGACGTGTGGCAGGGCAGGCAGGACCTTCCCCAACCAGGGATCAAACTCACACGCCCTGCTTTGGGAGCACGGAGTCTTAACCCCTGGACCCCCGGGGAAATCAGAGACCCTCTGTTTCAAAGGCCTTTGGTCAGTCTGCTGTCCCCATTGCAGTCCTCTCCTCTCCCAGCCCGTAGAGCCACGAGAGAAGAGGGGTCTGAGCTAAACTTCCCCTCCCCCACTGCACCTCCTGGCCTGACCCCAGGAAGGGGAAGGGCTCAGGGACACCCCTGCCATCTGACTGTCTTGGACTGCCTGAGGACCGGGGCCCCATCTGTGGGGGCAGAGAGGGGACCTCTGGGGGGGCGGTCAGTGTCAAGTGAAATGCCAAAGGCCAGGCTTTCGCTTCCTGGGTGGCTGTGGGGCTAGAACGCCTGACATCACCCAGCCCCGCTCCCGCACGACTGTGTCCCCCCCCACCCCCGTCACCCAGCCCCGTTCCCGCACAACTGTNTCCCGCACGACTGTGTCCCCCCCCCATCACCCAGCCCTGCTCTCGCAGGACTGTGTCCCCCTGGGCTCCAGGCCACCTCCCCAGCTGCCTCCCCCAAGAGGCTCCCTTTCCTGCTCCCGACCTTGGAGTCCAGCTTCAGTCTCCCGGCTCTGTTCAGGTCTCCCTTAAGCGGGCCCTCCGTTCCCGCCTGTGTTCCCCGTGCTCCCTCGCCCTGTCCTCTGATACCCCTGTGATGTCGAACTGATGCTGCCAGGCCCTTCCCTCTCCCTGGGCGGCTTCCCCTCCAGAAGGGAAGGAAGACATAGTTGACTGGGCAGGCTGGGGAAGCTGGGACCTGGGAGCCCGAAGCAGGGAGGTGAGCGTTGTCAGGGATCCTGTCTGTGACAGTGTCGCGGAGTCCATGCCGCAACGACCTCCCCGTGGTGGGGAGCTGGATGAAAAAGTCCGCCCCTCCAACAGCTGCTGAGGGCCAGTCCCCACCCAGGTGCCCCCGCCCCCAGCCCTGCCAGATCCTAACTCCATACACCCAGCCCATCGTCTCGGGGCCTCCACGCAGGCCTGGCAGTGCCCTCTGCCTGGGTGTTGTTCAGTCACTGAGTTGCATCTGACTCTCTGTGACCCCACAGACTGCAGCACGCCAGGCTTCCCTGTCCCTCACCAACTCCCGCAGCTTGCTCACACTCATGTCCATGGAGGCGGTGATGCCATCCAACCATCTCATCCTCTGTCGTCCCCTTCTCCTCCCACCTTCAATCTTTCCCAGCATCAGAGTCTTTTCCAATGAGTCGGCTCTCCGCATCAGGTGGCCACAGTCTTGGAGCCCTCTGCCTGAAACCCTCCAAAACCCCCTGGTCTCTGGAACGAAGTCCAGGCTCTTCTGCGGCAACCAGTCACTCTCCCAGCCCGGAGAGGCTGCTCAGGCCGTCCCCTCGCCTGAACCTGCCTGTCTTTTGGCCCTGAGGTCCCCCAGGCTAGCCTTCCCTCATTGCCTTCCTCTCTGGATCCACAGTCCCCCAACCTCCCTGGCCTTCCCCCTTAACACTTCCATCATTCAGTATCACTTGGTCGTCTTCCAGGAGGGAGGCTGTAGTGTAGGTACTTGGGACACATCCGTGAGCAAAACCGACACCCAAATGCGTCCTCCTAGTGCCCGCATTCCAGGACTTTGTCTAAAAGGAACTGTGTGCTGTGCAAAGTCACTTCAGTCGTGCCTGACTGTTTGCGACGCCATGGACTGCAGCCTGCCAGGCTCCTGTGTCCTTGGAATTCTCCAGGCAAGAATACTGGAGTGGGTTGCCACGCCCTCCTCCAGGGGATCTTCTCAACCCAGGAATCAAACCCACATCTCTTACATCTCCTGCATTGGCAGGCGGGTTCTTTACCACTAGCACCACCTGGGAAGCCCAGGAAGAAATGTACTTTGTATTAAAGATGTTAAGAGCTGTGGGGAAGGAGGCTGGATGGGGGTGAGGGGGGTGGTGGCTGCAGTTTTATAGGCACAGGGGTCAGGGTGGCCTCATGGAGAAGGTGACATTTGAGCAAATGTTTGTTTTCGGTTGTTTTGTTTAGCTGAGCTGTAAGGCTTGTAAGAGCTTAGTTTTCTCCTAAGGATGGAATCTGAGCCCCCTCCAGTGGAAGCGTGGTGTCCTAACCACTGAACCAGCAGGGAATTCCTCGAGCACGCGTTTGGAGGAGGTGGTGGTGGGAGCCTTGTGGGGGCGTTCTGGGCAGGGAGCAGCAGGTGCAAAGGCCCTGGGGTGGAGCCTGCCTGGTGTGTAGGAGGAACAGCCAGGAGACTGGCATGGCCAGAGCAGAGTGAGCCACAAAGAGAGGGTGGGGGTGAGGACAGAGGGCGGACAAAAGGGTCGCATGGTCATGGGGAGCGCTTGGCTCTTCTCTGCTGGAGACAGGAGCCAGGGGAGGCTCTGAGCAGAGGACATATGGGCCCTGACTTGGGTCTCTCTCTGGCCAAGGTGTGGGGACCCCAGAGGCAAGAGTGATGGCAGGCACACCTGTTCAGAGGCTGGTGCAGAGCTCCGGAAAGAGAGGTCGGTGGCCCGGCACACTCCAGGACAGGTTATGGTGGAGGTGGGAACAAGCGGACAGATCCTGGGTCAGTTTGGGAGGTGGAGACCACAGAATTTTTTCTGCAAAGTGGATCTAGGAAAAGAGGGAGAGAGGGTGACTCTGTAGGTCTGAGTGGACCCATTGGTTGGATCTACCTGCCCGTGTGTCTATCACCCCATCACCCAGGCCACTGGCCACCAAACCATGTAACCCACACCCCTGTCAGATTATACATGTATGAATTTATTACAAAAGTCATGCAAAGGTCTATAGCATCCATGGATCGCATGTTATAAAGCTTACACAAAAATGGCTACGTTAAAGGATGGTGTGTGTGCATGCGTGCTCAGTCATGTCCAACTCTTTTGTGACCCCAGCATGGATCGTAGCCTGCCAGGCTCCTCTGTGCATGGGATTCTGCAGGCAAGAATACTGGGGTGGGTTGCCATTTCCTTCTCCAGGGAATCTTCCCAACCCAGGGATGGAACCCTCACCTCCTGCATTGGCAGGCAGATTCTTTACCACTGAGCCACCCGAGAAGCCCATTAAAGGATGGCAGGCATGTATTTTTTTATTTTTTGGCTGAGCCATGTGTCATGTGGGATCTTAGTTCCCTGACCAGGGATCGATCCCACGCCCACCGCAGTGGAAGCTTGGAGTCTTAACTACTGAACCACCAGGGAAGTCCCCAAGCGTGGCAGGCATGTCTTAAAATCCTAACACTTTCGTTTATCACCCCTGGAGGTTCTTGCACCCCCCCC